AATCACATGAGGTTCGAAGTTTAGAGCCCAGAGCTCTTTGTTTAGAACTAGGGAACTAGGTACTTATCTTCCTCCTACATACCATACCCCTTTGAGGCACCTGGTGATCTCCACAGCATCTGCAGCATAGTAGAGCACACCCAAAACCCTAAACTCATGTTTGGTCTTTTTGCGCCATTATTGTTACCTTGCCAGCCAAACCTATGAAAAAAAAAGGTTGTTCCACACAAAAATGGGTTTCGCCGGCAGGTGGCGGAAACCAGGTTTTGTTTCAGTTTTGACTGTTCAGGCTGGTTACATGGCGCGGACTTGACAGCATTTTTCTGGTTTCAATCCCTTGAATTGTAGCGTTTCGACTTTTGGAAGTTGCGATTCCTGGTTTAGAGAGTGCGCTTTTTTTGAACACAGATGCCCGGGCCGCCCTGCTTAGCGCTTCGTGGCTTCCTACACATGTAGGAGATGCATGAGACAGAACCCTAAACCCTTCTAGCCCTTGTGTAAACCCATATTGGGACCCACTACCCAAAAAAAACCCTCTAAACCCTAAACCCATATTCCGCGCCCAATGCCCAAAAACCCTTATAAACCCTGAACTCTAAACCCATTTAGGCAATAATTATTGCTGTAGAAGCCTGGACTTTGGACTGACCTGCCCATCAGTAGACACCGTATGTATAGGCTTTACTGTACAGGTTGATTCAGGATACGCGTGGGTTTGCGATCAGGATTTGGTTCTCAATTTTCATTTGGGAAGCACCATGCAGATCTGCAAGCCTCTTGAGCAACGAAGGTTTCAAGTTTAGCTTTTATAGGATCAGGTAAAGCCAATTCGCAGTCGGCGTACACCTCGCTTGTGCCGCGCTCCTTCGATCGGGGTTTTGCAGCAAGGCGCTCCCCCCACCCCCCTGCCCTGCACATGCTTACTGTGCGGCTCTTGGGTCCGACATGGTGCTGCAAGTCGCTGCACTCTGTTTGCTTTGTTTGCTCAAGCCAAGCTACATACTGTATCGGGTGAGAGCTGTGTGTGCTGCAGACATGAACGGGGCCATGCCTGATTTGATGGAAGTTTGCTCGGGAAGAGTTCTGGTGATGGCCCGCGAAGAAGGTGCCCTTTGAAGCGTTCCACACCAAACCTGCTTCTTGTGTGTTACCGTGTCCACACCATTCTACACCCCATACATGTGGCAGGACTTGTTTCCATGCCGAATATGTACTGGGTGGCCTGCCACAAGGCTCTGTTCCAAGAGCAGGACACGCGTGTGGGGGTACTTGGGAACGATGTATAAAAAGTAGAAACAGTTAGAAACAGATCGATCTGTGCTGGTTTCTGCAGGATCCGGGAATCAACGAAGATTCGTTTGTCGAGATGGTTGTGCAGAATGTCCGTCTCGGTGGGGTCTGCAAGGACTTTCGGCGATTGTTCGGGAGCCCTGCTCTGGCCACTTGACTTTTCCAGCACGGGCGGGGCTGCCACTTGAAAGTCTCCATCAGCAAATCCAGTGCCTGACCAGGCTGAAACTCGAGCACAGTTGTTCTGAAGATGTACGGGCTGTAGGAGCTTGAGCTGGGGCAATCTTTGAAGTCTGTAGTTTTCTATGGAGCTTCACCGGGGACACATGCAGCGACGCGTTTCGCCCAAGCTGGTTATGTACTCGAGCCATGCATGGTTATAGTGTGACTACATGGTCTCCTTAGGCCTCGTGATGCTAAGAACTGGGTGCATGCGACTGCTGCTTGTGAACGGGGAAGCGAACCTAGTGAACCTAGCTTTCGCTCTGGTTCCAAAAACAAAGCATCGATCTGCCTGCAGAAGCGACAGTAGGTAGTTGCGAGGATTTTGCAATCTTGCAAGCCTCTCCAGCAAGCATATTTCCCAAGCCCTGTGTGTATATGTATATATGTATATATGTATATATGTATATATGTATATATGTATATATGTATATATGTATATATGTATATATGTATATATGTATATATGTATATATGTATATATGTATATATGTGTATATGTATATATGTATATATGTATATATGTATACATACAGTCTAGAAACCCGATTATATAGTCCCCGCCGTACGTTATAGCCCTATACTTACAACTTATAAGTCAAGAAGGCTCGTTAGGGTTTATAGGGTTTATATAGGGGTTAGGGGTTAGGGTTTAGGGTTTAGGGTTTAGGGTTTAGGTTTTAGGTTTTAGGGTTACCCTATAAACCCTAAACCCCCTTTATAAACCCCAAACCCTATTTACAACCTTTGTAACAAATGTCCCACGCAGGTGAGCCCAGATTTTCAAGGACTTCTTTGCCTCGAAGGCCGGTGAATGTTTAAACAAAAAGGGATTGAGGTGCTTTTGTGCGCAACAGCAAAGATGCCTGCAGATCTCAACCTCGCACTGAAACCGTGAACTTACAAGTGCAGTCGGTTGGCACGCAGGTCGCTCTATCCTGCTACGCCCCGGGACCTTCATCACTCACTTCAAGGCTGGTCAGTGTTTCGTATGATATTGTCGCACGCAATAACTTCGTGAGAACCGTGAGGATCGAGGGCTGCGCTGTAGTCGCTATATACGAGATGCACTATGTATAGGGGTCCTATCATGTTCTCCCACCTCCCTTCGACCAGCCAGGTGGATGCGGCTTTTCGTCAGCGTTGCCTTGGCTTGTCAGGCTGGGCTGCCCGAACAAGGAGTTCAGGGATTAGGGCTTTAAGTTCAAGATTTCGGGCCATGCAATTCACAACATGTCTTCGCCCAATTTTACAAAGCTAGGCGTACATGTGTTTGGACATATGCGCGTGCTGCAGGGCTTGAAAGAGCAGCGACACATCTTACTACAGTGAATCCAGTGGTTTAGGCCTTAAACTTCTAAAATCTGGGTAATGTTCTCCAGACCAAAACACGCCGAACACCTTTCAGGCGATCCTGGGGAATTTGTGGTCGAGGTTGTCATCTTCGACAGGCCTCCGCTCTTTTTGCAAATGATCTGTCCTGCAGCGGTCAATATGCGTTTCAATGGGTGGGGGTTTCCTCTTTGAATGCACTGTTACATCGCAGCATCAAGGGTCTCCGTATCAGCAGATCCTCTGTAGCCCCGATGATGCCCGGAAACGACAACGAAGACGACGCTCCAGACGCAGGGGTTCCGTGGCCGGAGAGGGGGGTTCTTACCATGAAGTGGGAGAACCGATCTCTTGTGAGAGAGCAGCTTCGCGCGCACAGGCGCCTGCTGTTGTGGCCGTCAGCTGTGAGCACGGGAGTTGCCAGTCAAGCTTCGTTGAAGCTCAACCGCTTCCTGGTGGGGGATGTCCTGGTGGTTTGGGGTGGAGTGAGCAGCGAGCCGAAAGCCCCACCTATCGGATGGATTCGACAGGAGGCGGTGGAATCAGCGCAGACGTACAGCGTTGGGATTTCCGTGTTTCTTCAACATTTTTTTGGCTTGTTTTGGGCCGCCTTGTAAACTGGGGCAGGTGCAGAGCCTCTACGACACAGTCCTGTCCGAATCAGATTCGGTCAATGTGTACATCGACCAATGGGGCGTCAAACGATTGGTCAGTTTTGTCATGCGACGATTCCGCTCCGGCATCATGAGCTTCAGAGACCGCTTGTGTGTTCACTTGCATTAATTTGTCGAGCCCACGCAATCATGTCATGGTATTTAAATCCTTATCTGAGTTGCGTTCGTGAAGGATCCTTGTCTGAAATTCCTCATGGACATCATGATGGATTGCTGGGCAGATGAAGTGCCCAACAATGAAGAGGGTGGTAGTGCTGCGGCTGGCCCCCCTGCAGGTGGGGCCGCGGCGGGTGCGCTGACGCACCCGCTGCCTGCTGGGGGCGATGATGCTGCGGTGGCCCCACCTCCCAACCCAGCTGGTGGGGATGATGGTGCTGCGGGCTCTGTTGGGCGGGATGATGGTGTTGTGGCAGGGCCCCCCTACCCACCTCCCAACCTACCCGCTGGGGAGGACGATGCAGGTGCTGTTGCGGGTGGGGATGGTCGTGCGCCTGAAAGTGGAGATGCCGCCCCCACCCCCCGTGATGACGGCGCAGGTGCTCTTGGCGGTGGGGACGATCGTTTGCCTGAACGTGGAGATGCCACCCCCCAAGCTCGTGTGGCTGAACACAGCACGGCTTCACCTCTGTCCAACACTGCAGACACGCTCAGGTATGAGTCACATGGTGATTTGGACTTAGAGGAGTCCACCCTGTCAAGTCAGGAAGCTGATTTGGCCCTACATGCACACGTGGCACAGGCTGTGTACCCTGACTTGGAAGCAGAGGTCTTGTTTGTTGGATGAGCGGGCTCCTGGGCCTCATGAGTGCCTGGTCACAGTACCCACTGGTGAGGTGGAGCCTGTTCCAGTGGTCACGGAGGTTCCGCTTGAAGTCGCACAGGGCGCAAGTGCCAGCGAGCTGGTCCATGGTACTCATGTTCCACCAGCCTCCACCCCTCCAGGGTTCCTGCAGAGTGAGATCCCACCAGTCCCCGCCCCAAAGGCGCACAAGAAAGGCTTGGAGGTTTTGACCCCGACGCAGCCAGCTGAATCGAAGGCGTTTGTCAAGGCCAGGATTCTAGAGTTGCAGCGCCTTTGCATGCATGTTAGTTATAAGGGATTGTGATTTGTGGCTGCAGTGATCAAGGGAAGGGATTTTGTTTTGTGGCTGCATAGTCGACTTTGTCTACTGAAGGCGACGGCTGGAAGAGATATCCTCGAGTCGGTCAGGCAAGCGACGGGCGCCTACATCTGCAGGCCATGCGTTGTTTAGGGTTTAGGGTTTAGGGGTTTATAGGGTTTAAGGTTTAGGGCTTAGGGTTTATAGGGTTTATGTAGGGTTTATGTAGGGTTTATATAGGGTTTATGTATAGGGTTTATGTATAGGGTTTATAGGGTTTATATAGGGTTTATAGGGTATAGGGTTTAGGGTATGGGCCACGCGTGGGCTGCATGCACACACGTGCACACACATGCATCGATGTCGAGGCGTGGATCCTGCGATGGCTGACACGCAAACCTATGATGGAGACCTGGCTGCGACCCATGTTCAGAAGCGGCTTGCGCGTGGCATCTCCAGCTATAGCGTTTGCAGTAGCACTTCGGTGGGGTCGGATGCTTCGACGCTTCAGCTTGGGTCTTCAACGGTGGACACACTCTCGCAGTCCAGCCTGACGGGTCCAGCAGCTGTCGAATCCGAGTCGCAAGCTGCGCAAGATGCAGCTGCGCAAGGCTCAGGCTTCCGCAACTCCATCCTTGTGTTTCCTGTCTCCTCGACTGAAGATGTGGATGAGTATGCTGGTGACTCATGCGAAGATCCGCAGACTGGCCTCTTGATTCCTCTGAAGCGGGGTTTCGCAGAGGATGCTGCGGCCCCGTGCGAGAAGGAGATCGACACTCAGCAAGCAGTAGAGGAACCCATGGCAGTCTCTCCTGCTGCGCCTACGGAGGAGAAGGTTGCTGAGCCAGCTCCTTTCTCGGTCTTGGATTACAAGGTGCATGCGCCGGATACACACATGCTGTCGTCCATTGACATAAATTGTTGTGTTTTTTAAGTTCTTCAAGTCGCCCGTGCCCCTGATTGACAGGGTCAGCCGCCTCGTCAAGAGCAGTTCTGCGTGTCTGGGGAAGACAAGGCGCAGGAAGAAGCGAAGGCTACGGTTCCGGGTCGTGGGGGAAAAGGGCGTGGGAGAGGCAGTGGGAGAGGCAGGGGGAGAGGCAGGGGGCGTGGTGGTGACAGTTGTGTTACCCCGCCAAGGGCAGTGCCAGAAGCGGGTGCGGAGGAACTCGCAAGTACTGAGAAGGAACCTGCCAGGATTCGACGCAATGGCAAGCAGCCAGCACCTTGCAAGGACCCAGATGCCCCAACACCCAAGCCAAAACGCAAAGCCAGCCCCAAGGCGAAGGCCAAGAGCAAGGCGAAGGCAGGGCCAGCCCCCGCGCAGCCAGCTGAGCCAGAGCCCACGGAGGAGGAGGACAAGACCAATGACGCTAAGCAGAAGGGCAGGGCCAGGGCGAAGCCAGCTGTCAAGGCGAAGCTAACTGTCGCCCCGACAGGCGAGCCAGAGCCCGCAGATGAGGATGACAAGAAGCGGAAGGCGTTGTCAGCGGGGAGTGAAGATGGCAATGCTGAGGGTGGGCCGGGCCAGTCACGCAAGAAGATCAAACCCGCAGGCGCCAGCAAGCCTGCGGCAGCCGCGAAGCAGAAGGCGTTTGCACGCCGCTGGCGACCAGACGGTCAGAAATCGGCGTTGGTCTGGGATGCCATCCGCGATGTCTTCGATGAGTGCCTTCGTGCGAGCTATAGGACCCCAGGCAAGATGGAGGACCAACCGTGGAAGTCTTGCCCAGCATTGTTTTAAGGAGTGCACGAAAACACACGCAGACCCCCCATCAGAAACCTCGAAGGACTTGTGGTGGAAGAAAGCCCGGCCTGAGATCCTCGCAAAGGGTGACATCGACCTCACCAAAGATGCCCACCATGCCGCTGCCAAGCAGTGTCTCGATGCTTTCCTGCAGCAGTACCCTGCTGATATTTGAACAAGACCAGGTCTGATCCACGTCGACCATGCTCAGTTCTCATGTTCGAATCCGCGCATACACGATTCTTTTCCAGCGATTTCAACATTGGCGAACAATTATTACCTTAGTGCGGGTGCATTGAGAACTTAGTCGTTAGCATTTTATGGTTTATGGGTTGTAGAGCTTTTCAGAGCTTATGGGTTTAATAAGGTTGTGTCTGCAACATGTAATATAGGGTCGCACGCTGTGGAAAGTGTGCCGAGATGGGGGGGGGAGCTTTTCTGAAAGCTTTCCCGAATGCACATTGATGGGGCGAACCTCATCTTCAGTGTTGTATGGGGGTAGAAGCGCTCAGGACAAAAGATGCTCGTGCATCTGTCAGAGATTCCAGCTTGAACCGTTTGATCTTTGAATTAACACGCAGGTCTTCCCGCCATGCCCCAAACGTAGGGTTTAGGGTATATATAGGTATATACATACATGGTTATAGGCTTAGGGTTTAACAGGGTTTAGGGTTTATAGGGTTTAGGGTTTAGGGTTTAGGGTTTATAGGGGTTATAGGGGTTATAGGGTTTATAGGGTTTATAGGGTTTATAGGGTTTATAGGGTTTATAGGGTTTATAGGGTTTATAGGGTTTATAGGGTTTATAGGGTTTATAGGGTTTATAGGGTTTATAGGGTTTAGGGTTCAAGGGTTTAAGGGTTTAGGTTTAGGGTTTATAAGGAAAACCGTAAACCATACTCCTCAAACCCGAAAAACGAAAACTCTAAACCCTAAACTGTTTACCCTAAACCCTCTTGCAACCGCAGGTCTTGTCACCATGCCCAAGCAGCAGATCAGCGCCCTCCTGAAGCGCGGGATTGTGCTGGGCCCGAACTCCAGTACTGCTGGCATGTTTGGGGTCCACTGGCAATGTTGGCGCATCGAAGTGGCACTAGCTGCCACTAGCTTTTGCACAAGCTCAAGCGTGGGATTCCGGGAACAAGTGGTCGCATGCACAAAAAAACTTCCACATTCTCTTCATATAGCGGGTGCAATGTCGGATGATGTACATAGAGAATTTCGGTGCCAGCTTAGGAAGTTCTGCAGGGGCCGATTCTGTAGTGCCATGGATGTGTCAATTTCGGTGGAGTGTCTTGCGCGACGATTGATGAGCCTCAGGGCACCCAAGGAAGCTTGGTAAAATCTGATTGCCTGAATCCCACGCCCCCTTGAATAGCAGTTCCAGAACCTTAGGCCTTCATAGCAATCGTGCTGATGAGCAGCTGGTTGCAAGAGCAGCCTCGCTTTATGCGTCGCTACAGCGACGTTATCGAGTTCTTTGCTGGCAAGGCGAGGGTGTGTCGATTGGCAGAGGCTGCTGGATTCTTCAGTTTAGCACACGACATCGGTTTCGACGATGGCCGCGAGCGTAGCTGCATGGACTTGAATGGTTCGGCGGGGTTCGTGCTTCGAGGCAAACACTTTAGTACTGACATTTCTATGGCACACACAATCAGCATCCTCATTAAAGCTTCCCGCCCAAATCCTGTCTGACCACATATTCAAGTCTTATCTTTCCCCTATAAACCCTATCAACCCTATAAACCCTAAACCCTAACCCTACACCCCTAAACCCTGACCCCTAAACCCTCACTTCCCTCCCATCTCCTCGAGGCTGGCCGTGCTCATGGTGCTCACCGCCAACCCGCATGGGTCCCTAGTATCCTTGGGAGTGGAATGTTCGTCCTATATCTTTATGAGTCGGGGAGCCACCCGAAGGACTTGCCTCACACCAATGGGATTACAGCTTGTCTCATGCGTTGCAACTGCGAACCAGTTCACGTCGAGGTGGGGTGGGGAATCTATAGCAACTGCATGGCAGGCTACATGAGCTATGTGGTATAGCGTGTCTAGCCCCCTGTAGAGGTCGTGCCTCATCATCGCCCTAATCCATGTAATTGGGTCCACTTGGATTCTAGAACAGCCGGGGAGCTCTGTTTTGAGCGACCACATACGCTTCCAGTGGCTCCTCGAGGCGCTGGCGCTCCACCAGATTCAAGCTGCCTTGGCTACTTGGAGGTTCGGGTACTTACAACCCTATAAGCGTAACTATACTTATAGAAGTCGTAGATCTAAGTCGGTTTATATATAATAGTGTACACTTAGAATACAATTGGGGTTACAAGTACCTGTGAACCTCCAAGTAACAGTGTTTTACTTTATGGTGAACATATTGCAAGGCTTCTAAACTGCTAATTCGTGTAGTACGTTTGTCTTCTCCAGGTCACACCAAAACCCGAAACGGTTCCTTGAACGGCCAAGGTTTTCCGGCAAAGTTTCTGGATGGGCCATTTTGGCCATTATATGCGCAAGCGTTCCGTCGTTTGGAGCAATTCCGCTATGGTTCGAGTCCTAGACCACGGAAAGTTGACCAGGCCAAAAGTGTCACAGACCAAAGAAGCAAAGACGGTTAAAGGCGGTGTGGTGTACTACAAGGACAAAAAGGGCAAGAGACGGAGCCAAGGAACTCCTCAGTTAAAACTGAGCCAGTGACTACGCTTGCCATTACTGTTCGAAATTGTCCGAAGCCCTTCGTTCTTCCTGCAAGTAAGCCCTTAGGGACCTTGGCTGGTCGTTCATCAACCCTCCCCTTCAGGGTTTAGGGTTTAGGGTTTAGGGTTTACAGGGTTTAAGGTTTAGGGTTTAGGGTTTAGGGTTTAGGGTTTAGGGTGTAGGGTGTAGGGTTTTTTCTTTGGCCAAAAAAGCACCCCCCGCCCCCTTCGGACACCTTCAACCCTAAACCCTTAGAAATAAATATAAAAAGGGGGGGGGGGTGGGGGGAATGATGCATTTCGCAACAAAGACGCAGAAAATCCATTTTGCCACGTCTTGACAATACGTGGCAAAATGCATTTTCGCAACAAAAAGGGAGAAAATCCATTCTGCCACGCGTTGACAATACGTGGCAAAATGCATTTTCGTGACAAAAGGGAGACAACGCGTGGCAAAATGCTTCCCCCCCCCCCACCCCCCCCCCCCCACCCCCCCCCCCCTCCACCCCCCCTCCCACAGCCCCCCCCCCCCCCCACCCCCCCCCCCCACCACCCCCCCCCCACCCCGCCCCCCACCACCCCGCCCCCCCCGCCACAAGCAAAGTATGGAAGGGGGTAGGAGGGGGGGGGTAAGGGGGGGGGGGGCAGGGGGGGGATATCTGTATATTTTTTTTCGCTATATTTCAACCCCAAAACCCTCCTGCTTATGGTGATTGGTTGGCCTGTCCTTGTGATGCCATCCTATCTAAGGCGATACCCGATCAAGTATGCGAGAACCTTGGTTGATCTCTACCCAGCTTTTCGGTGCAGCTCAACTCGGAAGCAGGCCCCTGAGGCTGGCGGTGCAATTCCTCCATCTCCATGCCCGTAGTTTTACAGGGTTTAGGGGTTGGATTGGGTTTACTTTTTTGGGCTTCCCTAAGAACTCATTATTATGAGCCTTATACAACACAGTAGGTTTTGGGTTCTTGTGTATACTGACTATTGGTAATCTGTTTTCCATTTAAAATGGGTCTGTTCTCCATCGTCTGGCGACTTACAGCAACCGAGGTTAAGAAGATTTCACTCCACATCTAGCCCTAGATATTTGAACAGATGCTTGCCGAGGTTGCCTCCGTAGCCACGCACAGAATATGCCTCAGATACACATGCATGATAGCTCGCGCGCAGGCGGAACCCACGAAACCCCTCGTGCAGCTATTCGCAGAATACGAATGGGGGACTTGGCCAGAGGCTGACCTGGAAGCCTGCGTGGTTTATCTACGCTGCAGCTCTCGAGTCTTGATTCCGGATGCATACAAGCCATTGATCCCCAAGTCTTTTGCGCGTGGTGCATGAGTTTTCCTGCTTGGCGTATACTGCTGCCACGGGTGCTGCCTGTGCAACAATTCGTGCAAATTAGCACATCTGTCTTCACAGATTTAGAAGCGGGTGCATGGGTTAAAAGGCACTGTTCCGGACAATCCAGATGTCAGTTTTTGTGCGGAATTCTGGTTTCAATAATGGCGTTTCTTCAATTTTGGGGGAAAACCGAACGAGCGGAAACAGGCGTCAAAGTGGCGGAAATCGGCGGCAAAAGAGCGGAATTGCGCGGAATGGCGTTTTTCAACCCTGCCAAGTTTCAGTTTTGCTGAGTCGGGAACCATTTGAAATTTCAGTTCTTGGGGTTGGTCTGCCTGGTCTCGCCACTTCGTTTCCTTGTGCTTGCCCGTGACAGCTCCTTGTGTGCTCGATCACGGGATGTGTAGGCTCGAGTCTGCTAGCTTGCTTCTGTGTTCAAAGGCCAATGTCAAATAGTTCATTGGCTACTGGCAGTGGGTCCTCCGAGACCCTTGCCAGGGGATGTTCCTTAGCGGGCCAGCCCCTGTCGACCCTTCTCAAGCAAGAGCCACTGGATGAAGAAGAACTTGAAATTCGAAAGGAAATGCAGGCACGGTGTTGCAAAACACCAGCTTGTGTAAGTGATCCTCTCCCCAAACTGAAAGCCTCAACTGAAAACCCAAAACCCCGAATCGTATATCTGCAGACAAACCCTGTTTGGAACACCGTGAAAGTTATAAGTTTCAAGCCAGAAGAACTTTCCAAAACAGATCTACAGGGCCTCTTCTCCTCGAACCCTATAAACCCTAAACCCTGAACCCTAAACCCTAAACCCCAAACCCCAAACCCCAAACCCTAAACCCTAAACCCTATAAACCCTAACCCTATACACCCTATAAACCCTAAACTCTTAACCGCGACTCTGCAAAAGGGTTTAGGGTTTAGGGTTTAGGTTTGTTTAGGGGGGGGGGGGGGGGTTTGGGTTGTTTTGCGTTTAGGGTTTAGGCTTTAGGGTGTCGGGTGTAGGGTTTAGGGTTTAGGGCAAAACCTGCTGGGAACACCCTCAAGTGACAGGTGTGTCAATGATCAGCATAACTTTTTTGCACTCTTATACTACAGACCCCGGGATCTTACAGCGCTTACAGGACATCTTCTCTCCGAGC